GGGGGGGCTCACATTGCAGCCCTGGTCAAAAGGGCCCAGCAGACATTATACTACCTGAGGCTTCTCAGGAAACAACCACTGAATGGAAAACTGCTGGTGACCTTCTACCGCTGCACCAGAGAGAGAGAGCATTTTAACTTACTGCACCTCTGTATGGTTTGCCAATTGCACCGGGGCAGATCGGACAGCCACTCCAGAGGGTGAACGTCGTTGCCCAGAGGATCACTGGTTGCCCTCTCCCCTCTTTGGAAGAGCTTTAGAGCTCCCGCTGCCTTAAGGAAGGTCAAAACATTCTCAAAGTTCCACCTCATCCTGGGCACCAGCCTTTTTTTGAACTATTACCATCTGGCAGACGGTACAGGATAATAAAAACAAGGAGAAATAGGCTGAAAAACAGCGTCTATCCCAGGGCAGGAGCTCTGTTGGATTCTGCTGTATAGTGCAAGAGAACAAGAGGGAGAGAATGGGAGAAAGAAAGAGCGAGAGAGAGAGGAAGTAAAAAATGGAGGAAGAGAGAAAAAGAAATAGGGAAAGAGAAAGAAAAAAGTGAGGGTGGAGGAAAGAGCAAGCAAAAAAGAGAGAGGGAGGGAGAGAGAGACCAAAAGAAAGAAAGGAAGGAAGAAAGGGAGAGGGAGACAGAGAGAGGGGAAGTAAAGAAATGGAGAGAGAGAGAAAAGAGACAGAAAGAACAAGAAAGAGGGATAGAGAGAAACAAGAAAAAAGAAAAGGAAAGAAATAGAGGGGGGAGGAAGGGAATGAGGTAGGGAAAGAGAGAAAGAAAGAAGAGAGGAGAAAGGGAGAGAGGGAGAGAATGAGAGAGAGAGAACAAACGGAGAGAGAGAAAGGAAAAGGAAGAGAGGGAGGGAATGAGGGAGGGAAAGAAGGGGGGAGGGAGTGGGAGAGAGAAAAAAGATGAAAGCTAGTGAGAGGAAGAAAGGGAGAGAAAGAAAAAAGGAAGGAGAGGAAAGAAAAAGAAAGAAAGAAAAGAAAGAAAGAAAGAAAGAAAGGGAGAGGGGAGGAATGAGGTAGGGAGAGAGAGACTAAAAGAAAGAAAGAAAGAAAAAGGAGGGAGAGAAAAAGAAAGATAGAAAGTGGAATAGAGGGAAACAGAAAAAAGAAAGGGTGGGAGAGAAGAAAGGAAGGAAGGAAAGAGAGAGGGAAGGAGAGAAGAAGAGAGAGAGGAGTGAGAGAGAAAAGAGATAGAAAGAAAAACAAAATGATTTTCTGAGACATTTTTCAGCCTTAAAGGATAACCTCAAATAAATCTCCAAAATGATAAAATTCAACGGAAAGGCTTAATATTTTTTTTCTATATAATTTTGATCCGATGGGTGTGTGTGTGTGTGTGTGTGTGTGTTTGTGTGAAAGGATGAAAAATATATAAGAAAAATGTTTTCCCCCCCAAGTACAATAGGTCGTCCTCGATTTATTCAGAGTGACAGTCCCATGGAAAAAGAGACTTCTGATGAGGGCTAGGAATCTACCGGTTCAGACTGGTTCAAGCAAAGCGTACACTCACCAAACTGGTGGTTACACCAGTTGAATCCCACCACTGTTATCGGGCCCCTTGTTTCATACTTATGACCGTTGCAATATCCCCAGGGTCACGTGATCAGATTTCAGATGCTCAGCGCCGGACTTGTATTTATGATGGTCGTAGCATCCGGGGGTGTCGCATGGCCCCCTTTACGACCTGACGAGCAAAGCCAACGGGGAGGCCGGATTCGCTTAACAACTGTGTGACTCACTGAACAGTGAGCAGTGAGTCGTTTGAACAACGGTGGCAAGGAAGGTCATAAAACTGGGCAGAACTCACTTAACCAAGGTCTCACTTAGCAACAGAAATGCCTGGGTCCAATAATGGTCATACCTCGAGGACTCGCTATAAAATTAATACATTTCTGCGTGTGAGACCCCCCTTAGCGAGATAAATTTTGGTTTCAATTGTGGTCATAAGTTGAGGACTACTTATAAACGAAATTATTTTTCTTCTACGATCGCTTAGCACGTTAAATTTTGGTTCCAATTCTCATCGTAAATCGTGACTACGTATAAAAGAAATGAATTTTCTACTCGTAAAACCTCTGAGCATGATAAATTTTGGCCTCGATTTTGTTCGTAAGTTGAGGACTACCAATAAAAGAATTAAATTTTCTGCTCATAAGATTGCTTAAATTTTGGGGTTAATTTTGGTTGTAAATTGAGGATTATCCATAAAAGAATTAAATTTTATGCTTGTAAGATCAATTAATATGTTAAATATTGGACTCGATTTTGGGTTGTAAATCGAGGACTACCCACAAAAGTTAAATTTTCTGCTCGTAAGACCTTTTTGCAAGTGAAATATTGATCTCGATTGGCATCGTAACTCAACTACCTATAAAAGAATTAAATGTTCTGCTCAAAAGATCACTTAATGTTAAATTTTGGGCTCGATTGTGGTCATAAATCGAGGACTGCCTATAAAAGAATTAAATTTTCTGCTCATAAGATCGCTTCATATGTTAAATTTTGGGCTCAGTTTTGGTCGTAAATTGAGGACGACTCATAAGGTTAATTTTTCCGCTCGTAAGACCCTTTAGCAAGTGAACTTTTGACCTCGGTCGCAATCGTAAGTCGAGGATTACCCGGAAGCTTGGAATTGTGACCTTAAGCCATCCCCCTTTTTTGGCCCTTTCACCCCTTCGGTAAATGGAACACTACAACGAGTATTAACTTAATCGAAGTTGATCCCGAACGACGTTTTAAGTAGCTATGTCATTTGGATTATTCCCTTAATAACTCGTCGATTCTCGAATTGTTGAAAAGCCAACTCCACTTTTTTCAATTGCGGTTTTTCTTTGTGTTTCTTTTGCAGAGAGAAAAAGATTTGCCAACTTTGGGGCGAGAGCGGAGAGATTTATTGTCTTAAGGTAAGACTTACTATCTGTTGTAGAAATTTCGTCATGGAGTTTCGGGAAAGGCCAGAACTAGAGGTCGACTTTCGTCCTTTCATGCGGGGATTTAGTCTGCTGCCTTCCGGAGACACGCAACCCCCTTCACTTCCTCTTCCTCCCCTTCCTCCTCCCCTCCTTCCTTTCTCCTCCCCTTTCTCTTCCTCATCTTCCTCCTCCTTTTTCTCCTCTTCTCCGTCCTCCTCTTCTCCCTCTTCCTCCTCCTCCTTTTTCCCTTCCTTGACCCTTCCTAGTTCTCTCCCTCCTCCTCCTCTCCCTCCTCCCCTTTCTCTTCCTCCTATTTGTCTTCCTCTCCTTCGTCTTCCTCCTCCTTTTCCTCTTCTTCTCCCTCCTGTACTCCTCTGCTCCTCTTCCTTATCCTCCCCCTTCTTTCTCCCTCCTTCCCTTCCTCCTCCCACTCCTTTTTTCTTTACTTCCTCCTCTCCTTCCTTCTCTTTCTTTACCGTCTCCTCCCTCTTCCTTTCCCTCCTTCTACATCCTCCTCCTTTTTCTCTCCTCCCCCTCCTCCTTTTCTTCCTCTCTGTATACCCTATTTTTTTTTGTAGCACCAACGACATTTCCTAGTTTGGTCATGAAACCTGCTCCTCCCCTTTTAGCGCTGATGACGTTCCCTAGTTGGGTCATGAAATGTCTCCAAGAAAACCACCAAGCTCAGAGAGCACCAATTCAACCCCAAACTACAAAAATTCTCCTCTGTTAGTATTTAGCTGTTTTTAGTTTTATCTTTTCATCCTCAGGAATTAATTTAATTAATCTCCCGCTCGAGTGGGAGACCCTGACAGAAATACAGAGCTGGAAGGGGCCCTAGAGGTTTTTTAGTCCATTTCAAATTTATTCCGCCCGATTGGAGTTAAAAACCCTCTCCTTTTTTTATACAAAAAACAAAACAAAACACAGATTAAGCCTTTTTGAAAGCCAAAAATTAAACCTTAAATGTTCACATAGGGAGATCCTTCATCCCTTCCCACCACAGCTTTGGATTAAACCTCAGCCTTCTGCCAAGTAAATGTACTTGACGGAGGAACGCGTCATTTCGGTTACGTCCTGGCTTAAAAGCTTGCCCAGGGCAACCGATGTGAAAAGGAGAATTAGTAGAATTGATAATTTCTGAATTTCTGGATGTGAGACTTTATTTGGGACTAGCTGGATATCCGTGCTTCGCTACGAAACTCTGTGGTCGGGCTTAGTTTTGGGGGAGGAAAATAAGGGGGGAGGAATTCTGTCTCTGCCTACCAGCATCCATCAGTATTCATCTGGCTAACGTCCTGTCAATGTGTGAGAGAGTTGAGGGATGTTTGGAAACTGAAATAGTATTTGCTGTGTGAGTGAGGAGACAGCAAGGAGCCTAGGCGTGGTTTAGCTCAACTGTTCTGTACTAAAGCTGCTTGGTGCTATGAAAGTAAAACTGCTCTCTGCTTGTGTTTTGCATTTAGGACAGATTTCTTTTCAGGTGTGGAGGGGGAGTCAAACTCCTTAGCATCAGAGCGTGTTAATTGCTGTAGAAGAAATACTAATGAAATACTAATGCTCTGATGGTCATTTCGAAAAATCCTTTCTTAGTGAGCCCCTAGAAGCCAAGAGGAACATCCGGGCCAAATTTCAAGTTTGTAGGCTTTACAGTTCTGGAGATTTTGTGATGATGCATGAGGGGTATTTTGCTTTTATATATATAGATAGAAAATTCCCGTTAAGGCTGTTCATTGTGATGTTGAGGTTGTGGTTTTTTTCTTGTCTCGTAAGGGAAAAAACTCCCACGGAAATTTGGGGAAAATTAGCTCATTTTTGGAGGCCAAAAGGAGCTGATGTTATTGGGACGTTGCCGTATAATATGCAGGAATGTTCCTTTTAAGGAGTGAGGAAGCAACCGGAAAAAAAAAGGGAAATGGCGAAGGGAAAATTGCTGCCTTTATCCGTCTTCTCCGACCTGATGTTTTCCAGATGTGTGTCGCGAATACAGCAATGCGTATCTGGACTGACCGGAAGCTCTGGAGAGCGGCCATCTTGGCCCAGGCTGTTGTAGGACTCTTCCACACCCTTCACCTCTCCCTGTGCCCATTGGGAATTCGGTATGGGGGAGTCCTCGTCTTAACGACCGCAACTGAGAGACGGATTTCCGTGACTTTAGCACGCAGGTCCCTAGATTTGACAGTTTTAAGGATTGTGGACTTCAACTCCCAGAATTCTTCAGCTAGCCAAGATGGCTGCGGGATTCTGGGAGTTGGTCTGTAAATTGAAGGTTTGTAGACTTCAACTCCCAAAATGCCTAGCTGGACAAGATGGCTGTGGAATTGTGGGAGCTGATCAGAAGTGAGTACCGGTTGTGAGTGCGAGGACCAGTCATAAGTTCAAGGAAGTATCTGCATGTGAGTGTAAGAAGCAGTCATAAGTGTGAGGACTTGTCATAAGTGTGAGGATTTGTCATAAGTGTGGGCCCTTATCCCAAATTTTGGGTTCCATTGTTGTCATGAGTTGAGGACTCACTTGGTGCACAGAGAGTCCTTGACTTATAACAGTTCATTTAGTGACCAAAGTTGCCACGGGATTGAAAGCAAAAGGACTCACGACTGTTTTTTCCCCTTAACGACCACCGCGGCATCTCGACAGTCACAGCGATCCAAATTCACTCTGTCTGGCTGACAACTGCCTTTACGATGGGGGCCGCCTCACAGCATTGCTGCCATCCCCTTTTTGCGATGTTCATGGGGGGGAAAAACAGATTCACTTAGCGACAACATGATTCCCTGAAGAAGTGCATGGCTTCGCTTAACAACCGGGGGGGGTCAAGAAAGTTCATCCAATGGGCCCGAATTCCCTGAAAAGTCTCACTTAGCAACGGGAATTTGTGATTGTAAGTCGAGGACTACTGATAGGTAAAAAAATTTCCATACTTGATGTAGTTTTTTACGCCAATGTGGATTTGTTTCCCGATTCTTTATTCATTATTTAAATTTTAAGATCCAAATTTAAATTTATGCCGCAGCCGTTGTGTGTTTATTCAAGCAGAAACGAGGATTAAAAGCTCATTTTTCCCCCTCTGGGTAATTTGATACTATCATTATTTCTTTTTTTAATAATAGCCTGTCATCTAGCTTATAAAAGTCATGGCATTTTTAATTGCTAGGATGATATTCGGCATTATTTCTGCTAACTGCAGGGAGTGATTTCCCTGGAAAACGATAATTAGAATTAACAGTTTTTCTCATCGGGCTGAAATAACACAGACCGTCCTCGACTTAACGACCAGAATGTAGCCCAAAGTTGATGCCACTAAATGAGACCATTCAGGGAGTTTGGTCTCATTTGACAAATGTTCTTTGTCCCCATGAATTTTGATTTTGGGATCAAAATTTGGGCGCTTGGCCACTCAACTCATATTTACGACAGTCACGCCGTCCCCTTTTTGCGACCTTCTGTCAAGCAATGTCCATGGGGAAGCCAGGTTTACTTAACGACCATGTGGCGAACTTAATGACTGCAGGGATGCACTTCACAGCTATGGCAAGAGGGGTGGTTGAACGGGGCAGGCAGGGCTCAAAAAAGGGTCTCGCTTAGTGACAGAAATGGTCGTAGGTCGAGGACTAGCTGTATTGCAAGATCTCAGCGGTGACCTTAAGAGCAAGGCCTGAACTGACATTCTGGTTTGGTCTTGCTGGACAGCCATTTGTCTGGAATGGTATCGGGTCTCCTGCTTGAGCAGGGGGTTGGACTAGATGACCCCCAAGGTCCCTTCCCAGTCTGTTATTCTATGATTCTGTGCAGGTCTCCTGCTTGAGCCAGGGGTTGGACTAGATGACCTCCAAGGCCCCTTCCCACCACATCCACCTATGCTGTAGAGAAGCTTTGGAGGAGAAAACCCTGTTTTTCAAGCTTTGGCTAATAATTTGAAATCAATATTCACCAATTATTTTCCATACTGTTTGCTTAAACTCCTCAAGGCCCATCATTCACATCTCTTCTGTTTGGAGTACAGCCGTCAAATTTCCATTGTTAAGCGGAGACACGTGTCCAGTGTCCAGTTGTTAAGTCGAGGACTTAGATGTATTTCATGCCAAGCCGAGGAAATAACTCCAATTTCTTTTTTTCCCCGGAGAAGGAACAATGGAACTTGCAAACACGCTGCGGTTTAAATGCAGCTCCCCACGGGCTGAATTGCAGCTGTTGAACAATGAAAAAAACAAAAAAGAACAGATTTTTCTTTTTAAAACAACAATAATAATCAGATTGGGTTGATGGGAAAGTTTTCCCCACCTGTATTTTGTACAGACGATCTTTGCTAATTTCCTCTTTTTTTTGTTTCTTCTTCTTCTTTTTCTTCTTCTTTTTGGTCAAAGTTAACCTTGGTTTGAAATGCTTAAAAAGTGGAATCTATTATCAGGATATATCTATGTATGTATCTATCTCTTGGTATGTATCAATTTATCTGTCTGTCTTTCTGTCTCTATGTCTCTCTCTAATCTACCTATCTTCTATTTAGTATTTGTGTATATCAATCATCTATCCATCCATATCTATCGATCTGTCTGTCTGTCTGTCTACCTATCTACCTGCCTACCTACCTATCTATACATCTATCTATCTAATCTATCAATCTTCTATTTTGTATTTGTATCAATCGTCTATCCATCCATCCATCCATCCATGCATATCTGTCTATCTATATATCTATCTGTTCATCTATATTCTATTTAGTATTTGTCCATCAATCATCTATTTTTTATTTAGTATTTGTATCAATCATCTATCTATCAATCATCCATCCATCCATTCAGTATTTGTATCTATCTATCTGTCTGTCCATCCATCCATCCATCCACCTTCTATTTAATATTTCTCTGTATCCATCCATCCATCTCTGTCTGTCTATCTGTTCATCTATATTCTGTTTGGTTTTTGTCTGTATCAATCATGTATCTATCAATCATCCATCCATCCATTCAGTATTTATATTAATCATCTATCCTATCCTATCCTATCCTATCCTATCCTATCCTATCCTATCCTATATAGTTACTATTTAGTATTTGTCTATATCAATCATTTATTTTTTATTTACTATTTGTATCAATCATCTGTCTGTCTATCCACCTTCTATCCATCCTTCTGTCTCTCTCTCTCTGCAATCTAATTATGTCTGTCTGTCTGTCTGTCTGTCTGTCTCTATCTATCTATCTATCTATCTATCTATCTATCTATCTATCTAATCTGTGGGGTCTTTGGTGCCCTACAAATTTGGTCCTTTTCTTGCAGACCTTTCATGACCCAACTAGGAAACATCATCAGTGCTTAGAAGGATGGGCGGTTTGCTCTCAACTTACATGTGTGAAATTGAGAGGATGCCGTCCGCCTCCCCTATAAGGTGACAGGTTACAGGTTTATAAAATGAATGGAAGAATGAATTAAAATCCATTAAAGCATGAAACGTGATGCTGAGTAAAATGCATTAGAAGTTGTACCAAAAGGTTACACAACCGTACAGAAGTTGTTGAAGCACGCCAAAACTGGACCATTGAAGCGGTCCTGGATCTTTTGACACGAGGCCCACAACCACCCAATCAAAGTAGACAAAGTTTTGACATTCAAAACTGGTTCAGAGTGGTTCTGGCGGTCCGGTTGCGGAAATTTAGACTAGTTTGGAGCTTGGAGTATGATTTTGACCTTTTGATGCTTGCACGAGGTGTTCTTGGCTCTCTTAGCTAGCTGTGAGGATCAGTGGAGTAGATAGATGGTCTTTGGCTTTTCCAAGCTGCATCAGCGTTGGCAAATTACTAGCGTATTCCTTTGGGAGTTCAGAAGACCTTTGGGGCTGCATCTCCTTGGTTTATTCTCCTTTCGTGCCGGTTGTTTATGCCTGGTTCTCGCCTTCTTTCGCCGGCATCTTCTCCGGCAGGGCTCTCGGCAAACGTACATCTTGAGGTCTCTCCTCCGACAGAATATGTGCGGCTCGGGGTTGAACTGTGGGGACCTTGGTGCTCTCTGAGCTGGGTGGATTTCTTGCGGGCGTTTTTTGACTGAACTAGGGAACGTTATCAGTGCTAGAAAGGAGAAGGAGGAAAAGAACTTGTGGGGTCCTTGGTCCTCTCTGAGCTGGGTGGTTTTCTTGCAGACATTTCATGACCCAGCTAGGGAACATCATCAGTGTTAGAAGAAAGGGTGTGCGTAAAGGAGGATGAAGAGGACTTTCTTTGATGCTGTCTGAGCTGGGTGGTTTTCTTGCAGACATTTCATGACCCAGCTAGGGAACATCATCAGTGTTAGAAGAAAGGGTGTGTGGGGAGGAGGAGGAGGAAGAGGAGTTTGGGGTTCTTGGTGCTCTCTGAGCTGGGTGGTTTTTGTTGCAGACATTTCATGACCCATATTTGCGAGGATAGATTGTAAGTCACTTGTTTTGCTGCCTTTGTAACTTTGGTCACTAAAGGAATGGTTGTAAGTCAAGGACTACCTTTATGGCCCTTCAAAACAACATTTGGAGATCCCTGGAGCGGGGAGGTGCGACAAAACTTGGGGTCAGAATTAAAACAGGCATCAATCTAGAATCCTTACGGGTTGGCAGAGTTGGCTTCACGCAGGTCAATGCCAGACATAAACCTTTTGGTTTCTTTCGAAGCTTAGCTTGAGGTTCATGACTGAAATAGGGTGATCACCGGAATCCTGACAGCGTAGTCGCCAGCGAACTAGGTCCAACTCTCCTTGTAGCCTAGGTAGCCCTATCTCATCCTAATACGGGCCCGCCCTTAGTTGAGAAGATTCCTGTGCAAAGCCTCTTAATTGAAAGATTCATGTTCATATTTTAGCAATAAACCAGTTTAGTTGAAAGATTCCTACAGAGACTTTTAGCAATAAATCAGTTTAATTGAACCTTCATATGTGCACCTTGTTTTGCGCTCCCAACCCGCTACGCGTCTTTCTCCCTGGAGTTTGTTTCTTTGATCCTTAATCGGCTGCAAATTTTAAAGGCTGATTTGAGACGTTAATCGAATTGTTGATCTTCTCGTTCTTCCTTTCCTCCTCTTCCTCCTCCCCCGCCCCTCCCCTCCCCCCAGAGTTTGATTGGAAAGTGGGTTGCGGCATGGCCGACATGGAGCAGAACCTCAGCCTGGCTGATGCGCTGACCGAGCCCACTCCCCAAATCGAGGAGGAAGTGAAACGCGATTTCATGGCTAGCCTGGAAGCCGAGAAATTCGACGACGTGATCGGGGAAAAAGTCGGCAAGACGGATTACGTTCCTCTGCTTGACGACGACGAGCCGAAAGCCGGGAACCAGGAGGCGAGAGCCAAACCGCAAGCTGAGAACGTGGCTCCGGAGCGTGAGTGTCCAGACATGGGCAGAAGTCGGATCGGGCATCGGGCGGGATGAGCGGGGGGTGGGTGGGAACGGGATCGAATGAACAGGAAGCTGGATTATGACATACAACCCCGATTTGACGTGCCAGTGTTTCCATGGCTAAGCCAGCTTCGGTCCATGGTATGTCAGCGTTGTTAAGCGAATCAGGTGGTCATTAAGCAAATCTGGCTCTGTTTGTCGGAAGGTTGTGAAAGGGGATTGTGTGACACTCCCTCAGGCCGATCCAACCCTCATAAATAGAGGCGAACTGCCTGAATTTGGATCACGTGACCGTGGAGATACAGTGACCGGTCGTAAGTCATATTTTTCTTGCTTCCTCTGAATCGTTCTTCTCCAGGCAGTCGCAGTCTATCTGCTTTGCCCGTCCCTTTTGCACGGAGGCATCCCGCCATTCGGCATATTGCCAGCTTCGGCGATCTCGTGGCTTTTGAAATCCTTTTGAAATCTTATAGTGTTTTCCCCCAAAAGATGCATTAGGGCTTATTTTTTGGTTAGGTCTTATTTTGGGGTAAATATGGTACTAAGTGCATCCATCTGGCTGGTGATCTTAACTAGGGCTTATTTTTGGGTGGGGCTGATATTACGAGCATCCTAAAAGAAATCACGCTAGGGTTTTATTTTTCCGGTTGGGTCTTATTTTGGGGGACATACAGTAGAATTTTTTTACCCCATTCCATTTTTTTTAAATGCATCCCTTTCTTCTCTTCCTCCAGGCGTTCTCCCGTCAGGAGGAAAAAAAAAAAAAAGAGAGAATGAAATTAAATATATTTCCACAGGTGCCATTATCCGACTAGCTCTGTTTTTCCCATCTGGGCTTTGCTTTTTTTAATAAGCTCTTAATTGCGCTGTAATTTAGCCACAAAACGGTTGAGGGGATCAACCGAACACTCTCGGAATATTGGAGAGGATAATTTTTTGACCATATTTTGCATCGTTTCTCACAAGGGAACGTAGCTTTTTATTTGATTTTTTTTTCTTTTTATACCATGTTTCCAGAAAATAAGGTCCTGTCGTGTGTGTGTGCGTGTGTGTATTATTTTGGGGGAGGCAGGGCTTATATTGGGTACATGTGTAAAAATGCATCAAGCTAGGACTTACTTTCAAGGTAGGTCGTATTTTGGGGGAAATAGTAATATCGCAACGTCCAATGTCAAAATTCAAAAAGGAGAGAACCGTTTTAAAAAATAGGCACCGAACCAATTGATAATTCCCCCCCACCCACCTTTCATAGACGTAACAACGATACAGATTGTCCTCGAAGGACGGCCGCAACGGCCGCGAAAATTCGATGGTTAAGTGAGTTGGGAGCACTTCTGCGACCTTGCACACCACCGTTGTTAAGTGACTGGCCGCAGTGGCCAAGTTAGGAGCAGGGTTGTTAAGTGAATCTGGCTTGACATGTGACCCCTGAGACCGTCATACCAAGGAGCACCAAGGAGCCCATGGTTGTCCTCCTTCTCTACTCCAAAAACCTCACTCCTTCATAGCACTGATGATGTTACCTAGTTGGGTCTCAAAATCTCCCAGGACAGAGGATAACAAGGATCCCACAATCCTTTTCTTCCTCCTCCCTTCCTTCCTTCCTTCCTTCCTTCCTTCCTTCCTTCCTCCCCCCCCCCCCC